CTCCTTTGACTTCTCTCACCTGGCTCACTGCATTCCAGCCCCACTGGCCTTCTAGGTTCCGGGACAAGGCAGAGTACACACCCACCTCAGGGCCTTTGCGCTTCCCATAACCCAAATATCTTCATGGCTTGGTCTCTCCCTTCATTTTGGTCTTTACCCGAAAATCTTCCCTGTCCACTCTACCTGAAATTCATATACACACCTACATGTAGCATTTCATAGCCTCTTTCCTGGCTTCATTCCTCCCCCTTCCTGCCCCCCTAAAGCATGTATCACTAGGTAACAGCATATTTTATTTATCTTGTTTATTTTGTCTGTTCCCCTCTTCTAGAGGGCAGGGACTTTTGACTGCTTTGCTCACTGCTGAGTTCCTGGTGCTTAAGGATCATATATTAACTAGAGGCCTGATGCATGAATTTTCGTGGACAGGTGGAGTCCCTCCGCCAGGCCAGCGATCAGGGCGATTGAGGCCTTGGGGCCAGCTGGCAGGGTGGCGGGGCTAGGGGCCCTGGAAGATTGGCTGGCCAGGGGGAGGGGCTGCAGGAGGTTGGCTGTGGGAGCACCCTGACCACCAGGGGGCAGCTCCTGCACTGAGCCTCTGCCCCCTGGTGGTCAGTGTGTGTCATAGTGACCAGTCATTCTGGTTGCTTAGGCTTTTGTATAGATTGAATCACTTTCATCTGTGATCGCTTTCCTTTTGCTGAAATGTATTCTTTAAAACCGAGGTTCTCAACTAGACTGTACTTTTGAATCGCCTGGAGGAGCTTTAAAAAAATCCTAAAACCCCGCCCACTGGGTTTGGCCGAGTGGATAGAGCGTCGGCCTGCAGACTGAAAGGTCCCAGGTTTGATTCCGGTCAAGGGCATGTACCTTGGTTGCGGGCACATCCCCAGTAGGAGGTGTGCAGGAGGCAGATGATCGATGTTTCTAACTCTCTATCCCTCTCCCTTCCTCTCTGTAAAAAATCAATAAAATATATTTTTTTAAAAATCCTAAAACCCCACCACATCTCAGGTCAATTGCTTCAGAAACCCTGGGGGTAGGCCCAGGTGTCAGGAGTTTTTACCAATGTCGCTGTCTGGCGTTCCTAATGAGAAGCCAAGGTTAAGAACCACTGTTAAGGAGAGTCTTCTGGTGACAACGTTTCTTGGGTTTTGTTTGAAAATATTTATTTAGAACTCATGTCGTCATTGTTGTTGTTAATTCTCACCTGAGGATATATTTTTCCATTGATTTTTAGAGAGTGTGGAAAGGGGGGCAGACAAAGAGAGAGAAACATCAATGTGAGGGAGACACCTCGACTGGTTGCATCCTGCACATGCCCCGACTGGGGCAGGGGATCGAACCTGCAACCGAGTTACGTGCCCTTGACCCTTCAGTCTGCGGGCCAACGCTCTAACCACTGAACAAGCCAGCTAGGGCTTGACCTCATTCTTGAGAGACGTTTTCACTGGGTATAGAATTCCAGCTGGCATTCCAGCACCTTGGAGATAGCACTCCGCTGCCTTCTAGCTTCCGTGGTTGCTATTGAGATCATCACCTGTCAGTCTGACTGCTGTGAGTTTTTTTTAACAGTTTTATTGCGATGTAATTTATTTTTTTTTCTGCGATGTAATTTATATACCATAAGATCCACCTATCTAAAGTGTACAGTTTAATGGTTTTAAGTACATTTAAAAGTTGTGCAACCATCATCACAATCCAATTTTAGAACATTTTTATCACCCCTTTAAAAATATAAAAAACCCGGTACCCAATTGCAGACACTCCCCATCTGCCACCCTCCAGCCCACAGCACAAATCTACTTTTGGTCTCTATAGATTTTCCTATTCTGGACATTTTATATTAATTAAATCTTACCATACATGGTCCTTTGTGACTGCCCTTCTTTCACATAGCATAATGTTTTTTTGACGTTCATCCATGTTGTATGGCTATTTTTTTGAAAATAATCTGGTTTTCCTTTCTGATTCTTTTAAGATTTTATCTTTGCTCGTTTTGCATTTTCACTATGATGTATCTATGTGTGAAAACATATGGAGTCTCTTGAATCTGTGATTGATGTCTGATTTCTATCTCAGTAATGTCCTTTTTAGCCACATCTAATCTGCTGTTTAACCCATCTTTTGGATTTTTAATTTTGGTTATTGTGTCTTTTATTTTAGAAGATCTGTTAGGTTTTCAAATCTGTTATGCCACTTAATATAATCCCTGGTCATAGTATCAAGTTTGTTATTTATTGAAGCCCTGTTAGTAAACATTTTAGTTTTATAACTTGTGCACAATGATATGCTACCGGAACTCTGAGTGTCTGTTTCTGCTCGTTTGCACTCCTGTTGCCTTGTTTCTCCTGCTGGCCCAGCTGGTGTATGACGGTCATGTTCCCTGCAGCCCTGAGGTCACCTGCACAAATCTGTATTAGGGTAGATATATTCTTTCGGTTGTTCTGGTCTTAGCCTTGGCCCTTCAAGGGCAGACACCCTTCATCCCAGTGGGTAAACTCCAGTCATTCAAACCTGGGTTCAGTCCCACGGTTCACTATCTATGTGACTCTGGACAAGACACCCCCCCTCTCTGGGCCTGTTTTTCCCTTTGTACAACAATAATCATGATGGTCCCTCCCTCATAGGGTTGCTGTGAGGATCTATATCAGTTATTGGTTGTTGATATGCAACAAATTATCCCCAAACTTAGCAGCTTAAAACAACAGTTTCTATGGATTAAGAATTTGGGAGCAGTTTCTTATGTCATTTGACTAAAGGTCTCTCATGAGGTTGCAGTTAAGATTTTAGCTGGGGCCTCAGTCATCCGAAAGCTTGATTGGGGCTGGAGGATGAACTTTCAAGAAAGCCCACTCATATGTCTGGCTGGTGCTGGTCAGTGCAGGATGCCTACGTCCCTTACCACATGTACCTCTCCATGGGGTGACTTGAGTGTCCTAGTCACATGGCAGCTGGCCTTCCCCAGAGCAGATCATATAGGCATCAAGGCAGAAACCACAGTCTATTTTATGGCCTAACATAGAAAGTCATACTTCATCATTTCACAGTCTCCTATTAGTGACATTGGTCAGCCCAGCTCAGGGTGGGAGGGGACTACACGGGGACATGGATACCAGGCCTCAAGGACCAAGGACAAGGCTGGCTATCACATGTCAAATGAGATAATGTATGTAAAGCATGTAAAACCATGCCTGGCATGTGGTATGTGCTCACAGTAAACATTAACCATTCCTAAGAAGTGTCCTGGCTTTGCCATAGGCATGTAGGATCTACACCAGGGGTGGGCGAACTTTTTGACTCGAGGGCCACAATGGGTTCTTAAACTGGACCGGAGGGCCGGAACAAAAGCATGGATGGAGTGTTTGTGTGAACTAATATAAATTCAAAGTAAACATCATTACATAAAAGGGTACGGTCTTTTATTTCAATAGTTTTATTCATTTCAAACGGGCCGAATCCGGCCCGCGGGCCGTAGTTTGCCCACGGCTGATCTACACAGTCACCACTTTCATTCAGTCATTCAGCAGCTGGGTGTCAGGCACTACTCTAGGAGCTGGGGACACAACTGCAAACAAAACATAGTATGAAACTAACACAAACAAACATCTAGAATGTTCTGCCAGGTGGTGCAGAGTGTTATGAACAACCACAAAGGCAGGGAAGGGGAGAGAATGATGAGAGGACGAAGGCTATAGGTCTTTCCCCATAAAGCTGGTGGCTCAGAATTTGACCTCTGATAAAGCCCTCCCACACCTGTGACCCCATCCTAGCCTCACAGGCAGGTAGAATTTATACCCATTTTACACCTGAGCGGGAGTCGCACACAGAAGGAGCGGAAATGAGCTCTGAGTCCCTCAGGAATCAGGATTTCTCCCACTACAGAGGTTCTCCAACTGGAATGCACAGCCATCACGGAGAGGCTGTTAGGAGGCGCGCTCACACACACACACACACACACACCCCATCCCACATCTGACTCACTAGGTCTGGGGAGAGTCCAAGGACCTGCATTTCTTTTTTATTTTTAAAAATGTATTTTTATTTATTTCAGAGAGGAAGGGAGAGAGAGATAGAAACATCAGTGACGAGAGAGAATCATTGATCAACTGTCTCCTGCTCACCCCGCACTGGGGATGATTGAGCCCCAAACCTGGCCATGTGCCCTGACCGGGAACTGAACCTTGACCTCCTAGTTTGTAATAGGTCGACTCTCAACCATTGAGCCACACCAGCCCAGCAAGTATCTGCATTTTTAAGCAAGCACCCCAGGGGGCACCCCAACCACATCTGAGAAACCCTGTTGTGTGGGCTTTGGTGAAGCAGGGCCAGGAAGGCCTGCTCTGACAAGTGCCAGAGGAGGCTCCAGGCCCAACCTCAAGGAAGGGAACAGACTGAGGCCCAGAGACACCGCTCAGCTCGACTCCAAGCACTGAGTTCTCAAGTAGGACAGACAGCGCCACCCTCCTTCTTCCTCCGGGCATAGATGTCTCTAATGTGACAGCAGGGACAACAGAGCAAAGAGGCAGAAAGAGACTGGGAGCCGTTCCTGCATCGGCCAGCCCTGAAACCACCCTCCTGTTGACGTCTTGCTTTGTGTGAAATACGTTTCCTTCTGCTTTAAGCTACTTTGACTCAGGGTTTCAGGTACTTGCAGCCAAAATTGACCCCAGGTGAGACCCATAGCCTCCAGAACAGTGGTTCTCAACCTTGGCTGCACATTAGAATCACCTGGGAATCTTTTTAAAATCCTAATTTCTGGGCCTCATCCTCCGGAAATTCCGTTTCTTTGTTATGGGGTGGGGCCACAACATTAGTAACAAAGAAACAGAATTTCCGGAGGATGAGGCCCAGAAACTAGGATTTTAAAAAGATCCCCAGGTGATTCTAATGTGCAGCCAAGGCTGAGAACCACTGCTCCAGAAGAAAGGGAGGGAGTGCAGAGGACTCGCTGTGGGGCTGGTTTGGGAAAACGGACGATAGACCAGAAGAAACGCCTGGGAGAAATAAAAGTATTCCAGAACTCCTTTATTAGGCACAAGGTAAAAATATATACTCGGAGCATCCAAAACCTATAGTGCTGATGTGGGGTTCTGGACCCCAAGTGTCCCCAGACCTGGACTTAGGACTTTCCAGGAGGCCAGGGGCAGACCCCACCTAATCCTGTCCCCCAACTCCAGTCAGCGGCTCAGGTCACAGCTGCTGAGGCGGACAGGCCTGGACCCTCATTCCCAACCACTCCTTGAGCTGGATGAGGACCCGCCTCACAGTTTGGACTCTTGATCTTCCAGCCCAGACCCTTGGCTCAGGCCTGGACAGAGGATCCTCTGACCAAGAGGACACAGCTGCTGGGGCGGAATTCGCAGCAGGGCCTGGGCTCTGGGCCTCAGGTGCAGGGGAGAGGCCTGAAGGCTTTGGCACAGGACGCTACCCTTTCTCAGAGGTGCAACGTACGAAGGCAGCTGGGTGGGTTGTGAAAGGGACTGTCCGGGACAGCAGTGGGGGGTGCCAGCACGAGTGGACGCCGCCACCTGCACTGGTTGTACCCAGCCCAGTGCAGACACTGGCCTGTGGGGATGGCAAAGGACTGACAGCCCTGTGAGCAGGAGTTCTGTCTCTTGTTCACAGCTGTGTTCTCAGCACCTGGAACAAGGCATACGGTGAGCTCCCAACAGGTGTGTGAACCACACAGGCGTGCCTGAAGCACCCTTCAACATGCCTCCTCTTTTCTCCCTCCTACAAGGCACTTAGGGTTTATCTCGGGTCAAAGAGGCAGGAGAGAGCTTGGGTACGTCCCAAACTCAATCCACAGTTCACAGCTGAGAGTCGGGTAGGGTAGTCCTAGCCATATAGGCCCACTTCCCTTTCTCCCTCCTCTGCCTCAACTTCCTCCAGCCCTGGCCCTTCGGGGACCACCTGGTCAGCCTCCCAGAGGTGGGCTCGGGATGGGACTGAGGGGGTCAGGTTCTCTCGCAGCCAGGGGTGCAGCAGGATCCCCGAGGCTGTGAGACGCTCAGCTGGCTCCCGGCGGAGCAGGCAGCGGACCAGGCAGCGGGCCGGGGCGGAGAGGCCCCGGGGCAGGGCGTAGGTCCCCCTGCGGATCTTGCCAAAAAGCAGGGCAGGCTCCGAGTCCTGGAAGGGGTAGTGGCCGGCCAGCATGGTGAAGAGCGCCACGCCCAGGCTCCAGACGTCCGCCGCCTTGCCCGAGTAGGATGCCCGCGAGCTGAGGATCTCGGGTCCCACATAGGCCGGGCACGCGTGCTTGTCCCACAGGGAGTCGTCCGGCCCAGTCAGCACGCAGGCGTCCTCCAGGTTCTCCAGCACCAGCTTGGTCCTGTGGCAGGGAGAGGGCAGCGGGTCAGCCCCTGCTGGAACCCCCACGCCCCCACCCCACCCGACTCAACGGTCTCAGGTTTCGGGCTCGATCCCCAGTAGGAGGCGTGCAGGAGGTAACCGATCAATGATTCTCTCTCATCATTGATGTTTCTATCTCTTTCCCTCTCCCTTCCTCTCTGAAATCAAATATATATATAATTTTTTTTTCTTTTTTTTTTTTCCTTAAGTAGAATCAGGATTTGAGTCCAGGTTTGTCTGACTCCACTGCCCTTCTCCTAGCAACACTACCAATAGTGTTTCTCAAGCTATTTCCTTGAAAAAAGAAAGAAGCACTTTCTCACCTCTGGGAGATCTGGGGGTGTTGTACCCACCCTTAAGTTCAAAATGATTTGAAGTTGTGCATTAGCTTAAAAATTTTACATTGCACTTCTTATTAAAGGCATTTTAAAATATTAAAATGGGTTTTGGGCTCGATCCCCAGTAGGGGGCGCGCAGGAGGCAGCCGAACAAGGATTCTACATTTTATACATTTTTAGTATAAACTGTAGAAGGAACTAGAAAATCACCCTTAGACAAACATCACAGTGTAACTGCTACACTCGCTACAGGGAAGGTAGATGGCTGCTAAAATTAGTGGGTGGAACTCTGAGGAGAACACACATAATTTCAAAGCGCCTCGAGGTACTTATTAATGACGAGGTATTACTCAAGGCGTTTGTTAATTACAAAGGGTAAAATGGGAACTTGGCAGACACCACCCTAACCAATGATCGATGTTAATATCAGCATCATGCACTTCCTGATATCATGCACTGAGAAGGACCTATCACTTTTTTTATCCTCACCTGAGGATATGCTTATTGATTTTACAGAGAAAAGAAGGAAGGGGGACAGGGGTGGGGGAGAGGAAGGGAGAGAGAGAAACATCGATCAGGGATCAAACCCGAAACCTAGGTTTTTGTGCCCTGACCAAAAATCGAACTCGTAACCTTTTGGTGTATGGGACGACGCTCCAGCCAACTGAACCACCCCGCCAGGGCTTCTGTGGTATTCATGCCAAAGATGTAGCACCTCAACTTAACCGCGAGAAAAACGCCAGCTGAACTCTAATGGAGGGGCGTGCTACACAACGACTGACTGGTTCTCTTCAAAAGTATCCAGGTCAAGAAAGAACAGAAAAGCCGGAGGATCCGTCAGCATGGAGGGCACGGAGGAGGCCTGACTGGCGAATGCAGGGTTGGGCCGGAATGGAATCCCGGACACAAGGGCATAGGGGGAAACGGGGGAAACCTGTGGTTTAGTTAGTAGTACGAAGCCAAGGTTAATGTTTTGGCTTTGGTAGTTATACTATGGTCAGGTAAGATATTTTAACTTCAGAAGAAATGGTGAAGAAAACATGGGACCTCTTTGAACTGTTTTTGCAACTTTTCTAAAAGTCTAAAAGTATTTGAATATAAAGTTTTTAAAAAATCCAATGGGGTCACTCTCCTCCCAAAAATATCTTGAAATGAAATCTGTGTTCTAATGGGTGTGCATGTGCATGTGCATGTGCACCTGTGGCTGGGTGAGCTGACACCCTGCATACTCCCAGGATCTGGGGTGGGGTCAGGGTGCCAGGTCCCTTTCTGTCCCCCTTCCAAAAATCACTGATTTTCAGTTTTAGAGGAAAAGGCTCCTGTGCGGGAAGCTCAGGGTGCATTTTGGCTGTGGCCCTGAGCTGTGTGTGACCTTGAAATCCTGGCGGCATCTTGACAATCCAGCCTTTCCCCTACCAATCGGGAAACGGAGGTCCGGAGACACTGGGCCACCCAGAGACGGCAAGCCACCCAGCCGGGCCTCCCACCTCTCATGCTCAGAGGGAGCTAGGGCCCTGGCTCGGGAGTCATGTCTGGGTTCAGATCCCAGCTTAGTATTTATTCAGCTGTCGGTCTTGGGCTACTGACCTCGCTGGGTCTCGGTTTCCTTGCCTGCCCTGTGGGGACAGTCACGGTGGCCACCTCCTGTTTACCAGGATCCAGGCCACGTCAGGCAGAGCAGCGATGCTCTTCATCACTGTCGCTACTATCACAAAGGCAGCGCTGCCCTGGCCGGTGTGACGCAGTGGATAGAGCATCGGCCCACAGACTGAGGAGTCCAGGGTTCAGTTCTGGTCAAGGGCCCTGGTTGAGGCGCGTGCGGGAGGCAGCCAGTTGACGTGTTTCTCTCACATCGATGTTCCTCTCTCTCAGTCTCTCCCCCTCCACTGTCTCTAAAAATTGATGGAAAAATATGCTCCGGTGAGGATTAACCACAAAGGCAGCGCTCCACCCCAAGGGGCTTCCCGCAGGACTGGGTCCCCTTCTCCCCTGGACCGGGCAGTGGTGCTGTGCAGGCTTCTCCACAGTCTGTGTTGGCTACTTGGCCTTCCTGAGCCTTGGTTTCCCGTTAGGGCCCACCTCCTGGGCGCCTCCTCTGCTGCCACACTCACCTCTCACAGTCGGTGAAGACAAAGCGTCGCAGCTTGAGGTCTCGCAGGACCAGACCGTGCTGGTGACAGTGCGCCACGGCGGCGGCCATCTGGCAAAAGAGCCTGGCGGCCTCGGGCTCGGGCAGGCGGCGGCGGCGGCGCACCAGGCTGTGCATGTCCCCACGGGGCCGCGGGAAGAGGGCGTAAAGGTGGTGTGCGCCCGCCAGGACCTCCGCGGGCCGCGCCACGTGCTTGTGGGCAGGCAGCCGCGAGTAGGGCTCTAGCACCTTCAGGCTCTCGCAGACTGGGTACACCTGTGGGCGGAGCATGGCATGAGCACAGGGGGGACCGCGTGGAGCCCAGGCTGACCTTGGAAACAGTCACCTGTCCCTTACATACTAGTGGGTGCCAGGCAGTGTACCAAGCGCTCCTGCAGCAAGACACTCAACCCTGAGAAAGCCAAGAGGCCACACAGCCAAGTGTTCTTAACTGCCACCTTATATGTTCTTAAACCTAAGAGAACTGAAAAAATAACAGAGCCCAGCCAGTGTTGCTCAGTGGTTGAGCGTCAGCCTATGAACCAGGAGGTCATGGTTCGATTCCTGGCAATGGCACATGCCCAGGTTGCAGGTTTAATCCCCATGCAGGAGACATGCAGGAGGCAGTCGATCAGTGATTCTCTCTCATCATTGATGTTTCTCTCTCCTTCTCCCTTCCTCTCCGAAATCAATAAAAAATATTTTTTTAACAAGAAAAGCAAAAGAATAGGTAACCCAAACAAAAATAAGCCAGAAAGCAGGGGAATCCAAAAGAGCAGATGATGGAGAAGTAGCTTTATGCCCATTATCATCGTCCTCAGAGCTTCCATTCTCTAGAATTCACACCGCCCACCCTTTCTTGCATTCCTACCTGTGCCAGCCACTGGGCATCTAACTTGACTCACAGCCATGGTCCCTGCCCTCCTGGTGCCCATCCAATACAGGATGCAGTAAATAGGCCCCAGAGCGACATATTTATGCACACTAAGCAATCAACGCAATTCTGGTAAGTGTTGCAAAGGAACCAAGAAAGGTGCTCGGAGCAGAACCGCCATCTTCCAGTAATTCGCCAAAATGACTAACACAAAGGGAAAGAGGAGAGGCACCCACTATATGTTCTCTAGGCCTTTTAGAAAACATGGGGTTGTTCCTTTGGCCACATACATGCGAATCTATTGATATTGTGGACATCAAGGGAATGGGCACTGTTCAAAAAGGAACACCCCACAAATGTCACCATGGCAAAACTGGAAGAGTCTACAGGGTCACCCAGCATGCAATGGGCATTGTTGTGAACAAGCAAGTTAAGGGCAAGGTTCTTTTTTTTTTTTAAATATATTTTCATTGATTTTTTACAGAGAGGAAGGGGAAGGGATAGAGAGTTAGAAACATCCATGAGCGAGAAACATCGATCAGCTGCCTCCTGCACACCCCCTACTGGGGATGTGCCCACAACCAAGGTACATGCCCTTGACCGGAATCGAACCTGCGACCCTTCAGTCCGCCGGCTGACGCTCCCTCCACTGAGCCAAACCGGTTAGGGCTAGGGCAAGATTCTTGCCAAGAGAATTAATGTACGTATTGAGCATATTAAGCACTCTAAGAGCCAAGATAGCTTCCTGAAACATGTGAAGGGAAATGACCAGAAAATGAAGGAAGCCAAAGAGAAAGGTACCTGGGTTCACCTGAAGCGTCAGCCTGCTCCACCCAGAGAAGAACAATTTGTGAGAACAAATGGAAGGAGCCTGAGCTGCTGGAACCCATTCCCTATGAAATCATGGCATGATAAGTGGGGAAAAAATAAAAAAGACTTCTGTGCTGATAAAAAAAAAAAAAAGAAAAGAAAAAAAGAAAGGTGCTGGGATACAGAATAACTTAGAAGGGGGCACCTCTATTAGAAAGTGTGGGCCGAAACCGGTTTGGCTCAGTGGATAGAGCGTCGGCCTGCGGACTGAGAGGTCCCGGGTTCGATTCCGGTCAAGGGCATGTGCCTGGGTTGCGGGCACATCCCCAGTGGGAGATGTGCAGGAGGCAGCTGATCGATGTTTCTCTCTCATCGATGTTTCTAACTTTCTATCTCTCTCCCTTCCTCTCTGTGAAAAATCAATAAAATATATTAAAAAAAAAAAGTGTGGTCCTAAATGGACTCTGAGGAAGTGGCCTGAATGATTCAGAAATGCCCATGGGATATGTTTTCCAGATTTGGGGGGGGCGGGGGGAGGGGGGGGAGGGGAGGGGAGTCCAGACAGTGCAAAGGCCCTGAGGCAAAAATGAGCTAGATCAGCTCTAGGAACACAACCAAAGGTCAGGGCGGCTGGGATCGGATAGGGTGGGGAGGAAGGGGAGGGGGAGGGAAGCATGTGGTGAGAGCAGCTCAGCTTGTTGGCTTTAAGGACATGATATGGAAGCCTCCGACGTTCAGAGAAGAAGGTGACTTGTTGGAAGTCATACAGCCGGTCAGCGGCCAAGCTGGTGTACTCCCTTTGGTTCGCCTGACTTTAATCCCTTTGCATGTTATTTTAACTATGCCACACAGAAAGTAAAAGTAAAGTACACACATATTTAATCCACCAGGAATAAAATGCAAGCATATGCCTTAAAAAATAAAGTTGAGGGGCATGGAGGAAATAACCCACAGAGACTTTTTTTAAAAGTTGGGGGGAGCACATCCCTGCCTCTGTGCATTTGCACTTGCCTTTCCGCCGCCAGATGCTCTTCCCTAAAGCTGCTCATGGGGCCGGCTACCCCTGGGGCCAGCTCCCCCAACCCACACAAGTCACTACTCAGATGTCACCTCCTCAAAGAGGTCTTCCCAGACTTCCCTACCTAAAATCACCTGCACCTGCTACCCTCCCGGTTCCCCTCCCTGCCAGCTCCATAGCACCTAGGGTCACCTGACATACATTACTCGCATTTCCTTGTTCACTGTCCAAGCCCCTCACTAGAACCTCCGCTGGATGGAACCTCAGCAGAACTTGGTCTGTTTTTGAACTACAGCATGGTGCTCGCAGGTGCTCACTGGTTTGTTCAATTAATGAATTAGACCACAATCTACAAAGGCAGGTTGTTGGTCTTTCTACAATCTACACCCTGACCAAACGACCCTAAGCATGTGGGATTGACAGGATACAGTCAATGACAGGTCAGCCCTCACAGTTCCTGCTGCTGTGGGGACAAGCAATCCCTGCAGACTCCCCTAGATGTTTCTAAATAATTGGGGCCATATGAAAGCGCGCGGCTCTGGTTCCAGCTCGCTTTAGTCACTCCCCTCAGCATGGGCTTCCTCCCCAGTGGGAACAGGAAAGAACCCAGAGTTCAGGGGCCCCTTAGAGTATCTGGGGCGGAGCACCAGGGAGCGGCACCAGGCAGCTCAGAGCCCTGATAAAGCTGATGATGGACCACTTGTCCAGATCTGTCCCCCTGTCCACTGCACCCCCATCAGCAGGAGCTGGAGCCAGGTGCTGCTGCTGCTCCCAGTTGGAGGCTTAGGTCCTTTTGCTTCTTGTTCATTCCCAAGGGGACCCAGGCCCCCTTCTCCCCCTCCCTTATGTGCCTGGGTCTCCCCTATCTTCCATACCCCTGCCCACCGGGAGCAAATCTGCTCTGCTTGTGTCCGAACCACTTGTCCCAGCATGGGCTCTGGGCTCAGCCTGACAGGGCCCAATCTCAGCTCTGACACCTCCTGGCTCTGGGATGTGGCAAGTAACCGCATCCTTTTGAGCCCCGGTGTCCTTTATCTATAAATGGGCCCAATAACAGTACCTACCTCATAGACTGTGTGAAGATTAGAAGAAATTACGCACACTAAGCAATCAACACAGCCCTGGTGCACAGTAAACACCCATTTTAGACTTCCTCATCTCTCTTTGGGCTGTGACCTGCCAATGTCTTGTGTGGGCCTGACCCTCGTGGGGCCTTGGTCCTGCCTGGTTCCTGATTTCGGCCTAGAACCCTGGACCTTGCCCTAGGAAGCCAGGCCCAATGTTATGTGGATGCATGCATGACCCTTCTCCTCTCTTGACCTCAGTCTGTATCTGTAAAATGGCCATAGGTTAGGTCCCATGGCCTCCAGGATCCCAGGAGTTCTGATGCCTACTCTATTTCATCCTTCTCTTGTGCAAATGTCTTCCATGGCTTCCCACAGGAGGTCCTTTCTAGTGCAGTCATGCCCAGTGGCTGCCAGCCCCTATCTCCTGCCCCTGGCTGCACACCCTCTCCACTCGGCCATGGTGAAGTCCTGTTAACTCCCGGAAGCGCCATGCTCTCCCTCCTCTAGGCCTCTCTGTACAGCTGTTTCCCTGCCCGGATCTCCCTTTTCCTGCTTCTCCCTAGCTAACTCCTCGGTCTTTTCTGACACCCCTTTGTGTGGGGCGCGGCCAGAGTGTTTTGAACAGGTTCAAGCCTTGGACTACTGAGAGGGCACAGTCCTCTCATGGCCACGTGCAAGTCCCAGCGTGGAGGGCAGAGCCCTCCCAGCACAATTAGCCAACAGCTATAGCTGTGAGCTTGAACCTGTGATCCGGACGCGTGGCCCCACGTGCCTGAGTGATAGAGCTCAGGTGCATGTAGTGGAGTGGGAGTGAAACCCACAAGAATGTTGTAAACATCTTGGTCACGCCCTTACTCTGCCTTGTGGCATCTGCTATAAAATAAAGACACGGCTTGTGGGCGCCGGCGCTGTCCATCAGAGGGGCAGCGTCCCACCGAGACCCAGCTTTCATTCTCTGGTCTGTCTTTTCTAAGCCTTTCACCACCCCCACTCAGGGTCACTGAACCAGGCTGAGCTGGCATGGCACATAAGGCGCCCTGGGGCTGAGTATGCCATGGCCGTGCCGGCTCCCCACACCCTTGAATACATTAGAGGCTTTTCCCCTCTGCTGTCATGGTCAGTAAGCTCCACCCCTGCAACCTGTATCCATTATGGGGACCTAAGCTATGAATTCCCCAGGGCTGGGACCATCTGGTTTACTTCTCTGGTCACAGTCCAGCCTGGGGCTTGACAGAGAGTTGGGGGGCTCACTAGCTGCTCCCAATAAACACAGGACGAAATGCATACACGGATCCCTCAGGCCTGACAATCCTCTGCAGCCAAGGCTCTTTCCAGGCCCCTGTGATGCTGGAGGAGGGCCCCTAGGGGCACTTACCTGGCAGGTGTATTCGGTGCCTGTGGGGCAGTGCAGGGCCCGGTAGGCCCGGCCACCCTCCTCCGGTTCCAGGAGGACATAGGGCCCAAGCCGGGAGGCAGTGGTCACAGCAGGGGCACGGACTGGAGCAGGGGGTGGGCTCAGGGGCAGAGGGCAGGGGGGCAGCCTGGGCTGAGGTCCACTTCGAGCTTGCTTCTGGGAGGGACACTCCGTGTCTAGGTCATCATCCAACTTCAACTGCTTCTTCCTGGAGGGACTACCCGTAGGAGCTGCCAGAGGAGTGGCTCGCATCTAGAAAGAAGGAGAGAAAGGCACCAAAGTGAGGCTGCCTGGGGGCTCCTCTCTCCCCCTGATGGGAGGGCACACTGGCACAACTCACACAGAGGGTGACTTGGCAGTGTGCACTACACTGACAACAGCATGCACCCTTGACTGGGTGCCTCACTTCTGGGATTTATCCTCCAATTAAAATACCCCAAAATTAGCCTTAGCTGGTTTGGCTCAGTGGATAGAGCACCGGCCTGCAGACTGAAGGGTCCCAGGTTTGAACTCCAGTCAAGGGCACATGCCTGGGTTGTGGGCTCAGTCCCCAGTGTAGGGTGTGCAGGAGGCAGCCAATCAATGATTCTCTCTCATTTTTGATATTTGTATCTCTCTCACCCTCTCTCTTCCTCTCTGAAATCAATAAAAATATATTTTTAAAAATACCCCCAAATTAAATATGTAAATTAATCAGAGCCTTGTTCTAAGAGCAAAAGGCAGAAAACACCCCCAAATGTCCAGTAGTAGGGGGCTGGTTAAAACATCATGACACAGCCATAGCGAAATACTATACCATTCTGAAAAGGGACCAGGAAACTCTCCATACTAAGGTAATGATACAAGTACAAGGCTATTCCTGTAGCCCATGTAATAGAGACAATCATTAGGGTCCTGATTACATAAATTATATGTCATCGATACACGGAACAATTGTACCCATTTAAACGATTGAGGCAACTCTTTATTGCTAATTGAAAAGGTCTCCTAAGTGATTTATTAAGTGAAACACAAAAGCAAAGTGGAAAGATGGATTTGGTAGTTAATGAGAGGAAGAAAGAGAGACTTTGCATGGCATCTATTGAGTATTAGAGGGTAGGCAGCTGGTACCCATGAGAAGGAGAAAGGGGTGGGAGGCATGGGGAGGAGGGAGGAAGAATGATGAATGGATGAGGTAGGTACGTATGACTGAATACTCTGGAATGGATATACTGTCACGTGAGCAAAGCGAGCTGCCGAACAATACACCTAAGATGACCTCATTTATGTAAAAACCTAGCAGCATATACTACGATGTCTCTCCATGTTTACACAGCGATAGCGGTGGAAATGCACAGGGAAAAGTCTGGAAGGACCCAGGTTTAACTGGCTGCACAGCAGCTCTTGGCCTCCTGGGAAACTTCTAGAAGAGGAAGGGATTTGGTCAGGAGGCAAGTGAATTTTTTATTTCAATATTTTAAAATAAACATTCTATGTTCATTTATTGCTTGAGTATTTCAGAACTGATGAGTGGATTTCTTTTTTTTCAATTGTGAACTTTATGACTGCCTGATGGCCCGAGGGCTACCAGAATCACAGCGTCCACACACAGAGCTCACCCGCTGTCAGCTCAGTTGCATCATGAGGTGAGAAGTGAGACAGGGCGGGGAGGTCTCTCACAGGCCCCAAGAGTTCATTCATTTGAAGGCAGAGGAAGTCACCAGCCTTGCAGCTGTGTTGCTGTGTGCGGGGGGTGGAGGAACAGGCAATGGCATGTCAGGCAGATAGGTTCTCTCTAGAACCCATCTCCCCACCCACTCAGAGTCCAGATGTGGGACAAGGAGGCCCAGGTATAAGGTGTGAGCGGGAGAGAGACTTCGGCCTGATTAAAGACCTTCCCAACAGTTTGAGGCACGATTCATGGGGAAACATCACTCAGAGTCAATTCTCGGACTGACACCCACCCTCCAATCATGCTACTCGCTGGTGCATGGGCCGCCTTGGGAGGGAGGGAGGGAGGGAGGGAGCCCCCACCTTGAGTAAAAGGCCGTAATCCTGTCTTGGTAAGAATGCAGCTGGGGGTGGCACTCATCAAATATTCCCCGACCCTTCCCGGCTGGGTAGCCCTGGGCAAGGTCTTCAACCTTCCTGCACCTCAGTTGCCTCACAGACTGCAAGGCTCATAGGATTTTTGTGGGAAGAAATTAAAACACAAATAGGGTAGTATGGCCCTGTTACACAATAGGTATCAGGAAGTAGTCACTACAGTATTATTATTATTATTATTATTACTATTATTCATAGATGAAGATGGCTTAAGTACTACCTTGGGGGCCTCAGAAATCTCCCTAGGGATGAGGCTAGGACGACACTCCTTACTTCACAGGTTTTTCTGAGTCAAGCAAGGGGATCCCTGGCTGTGTAGATGCTTGTGCCTGGGACTCAGAGACACAGGGAGTGTTCTCCGGGGGCTGTATCAGCACCCCAGGCTTATTGGGCCCTATCCATGCCTCAGAGCCCCGTGGGGCGGTATCTGAGTCTATAGACGAACAAGGGAATTGGCAGGCAACACTGAGGGACCTCCACTGTAGGGTGGGGCAGCACCTAATCCCTGACAGCCCGGGAGGGGGAAAAGGGCAGGTCACACCAAACACACACTTAAACATCAGGGCAGACAGGTGTGCCCGTGCCCCTCAAAAACACACTTTGTCCGAGCCAGCCAGCCCAGACACACATCCACAGCAGAGAGGGGCACACACAGCCTTAGGTGACACAGTCTCCCTCCACGGGCAAGCGCGCACCTACACTCACACAGAGCTCTCCCACCGATCGCATTCACGTCCGCACGACGGATACCAACAAGCCACACACAGTCCGACATCCCCGCCCCGGCCCTCCCACCCCCAGGTCTGGCTGGAGGCATCCCAGCCCCGGTCCTCCCACCCCCAGGTCTGGCTGGAGGCATCCCAGCCCCGGTCCTCCCACCCCCAGGTCTGGCTGGAGGCAGGCCCTGGCCTCGCCCAGCCGGAGCCAGGCTCCTCCCTTGGGAGCGGAAGCGGAGGCTCGGGTGTCCCGGGACAGAAGGTTCATCGGCAACCGAGAGGCCGCGCGGAGACCTGGAAGGGATGAGGCCAAGGGAAGGAGGCTGGGCCCCAGGGTTGGGGGAAGGGGCGCACCTCGCCTCCCCCTCCCAGCCTGTAGGTACAATGCACACCTTCTGCAGGAGCAAAGCACACGCGAGCACATGCAGCGTGTGAACCCGGAGCCGCACCGGAGACCTGTGGCGGCCGCCCCGCACCCACCCGGGTCCCGGTCCGCGCGCGGCATCCGCGCTCCCACGGGCCCTCCACAGGTCCCCTGCCCCCGAGGCGCCCAGCCCTGCCCAGCCGCGTCCCCCGCACAGCCAGCACCTGCCACCAGGTGCTCGGCCATCCTCGCAGCTCGCACCGTCCATGGAGACACAGAGCCCCGAGACACATCCCCACGCAGACCCCACAGACACCCCCACAGTGACAGACCCTGCACACAGTCGTCCGGTCCCCCAAGGCCCCCCACAGTCCTTTACACACGACCGCCTGCACCGAACCACACGGCTCTCACGCCCCACATCACCCAACACACACAGCCCACACCTCTCGGGGCGCCACCCCGACAGCTCAGTGCCCGGCCCCCTCCGCCCCGGGACACAGTTGACACCGGGCGACCCCAAGCCCGGCGGGGCCGCGTTACCGGAGACCCGGCGGGAACACACGGCCCAGGTCGGCCCCCACCTCCGACGGCGGGTTTGTTAAACGGGGTGTGTGTGTGTGTGTGTTCGTGTGTGTGTGTGTAGGGGTTCGCGCGCGTGGGGGTGCGCGCGTGGGGGTGCTCGTGCGCGCGTGTGTGTAACATGCGGCGGCCCGGAGGCTCCCGGGCCGCCCTCCAACCGGTGGCCCCTCCAACCTGTGGCCCCTCCAACCTACCCGCCCCTGGCCCTCCGCCGGTACCTTGTCCTCGTGCAGCACAGGAGCCCGAGCTCAGAGTCTCTGAGCTCCGCTGCGGCCGAGCTCGGGGTCCGTGGGAGCTCTGGCCTCGACCCCCCACGGCCTCACGGGTGCGGAGCCGCCGCCGCTTCCGACGCAAGTTTCTCGGGGACACGGGGCGCCCAGGCTCCGGCTCTGGCCCGGGTGATGCAAACCTGAGCTAATCAGCCGCCGCCTGATGCGCTCCGGCCCGGTATTGCACCATCCCCGGCGCTCCGCCCCTCGGGGTCGTGCCCGAGCGCGCCCCGCCCCGGCCACACCCTCACCCGCCAGGGCACCTCGCCTCTCGGGCCCTCTAGGGGTGTCTCGCCGCCAGCCCTTTCCCTTCCCGCCCCGCGCCCCAAGTTTGAGTGTAGACACCAGCCACGGATTCTCCCTATCATCTGGGAAAACGCATTCTGCTTTTCTGAGCCTCAGTTTCCCCCTCTGTGAAATGGGAGAAAATGTCTTTCCTTCTCAGGATGGTGCTGAGGAGAAAAAGAGCAAACCGTGATAGTGTCCCGGGCGCTTCCCGTTAACAGGCACGTTCCCACCGTTGCATTCTTAAACCTTTGGAGAACCCGTGGCAGCAGGCAGCTCGAGTATTCCCACTTGTACTAAGGTGCAGCTCGAGGCTCAGCTGTGGGAAAGCAGCCCAGGAACTTGCAAAAACCAGACTTACAGGAGCTGATTCGGGCTCAGAAGGGCCAGTGTAGTGCCCTGGGGAGGCCTGCTGTTGGGTGGGCTTCGCAGCATTCATTTGCTAAGAGCAGTGCAGCCCAGTGGTTAAGAGCAAGCACCCTAAAACCAGCCTGCCTAAGAGTGCGCCTCACCTCTGCCCAGACCCACTGTGCTGCATCCGGAAAGCGCTTTAAAACCCTGCTGCAGCCTTGGGAGCTGTGGCTCCATTGGTTGGCTGGGCGTGGCCCCGTGCATTTTAAGATTACCAGTTAGATTCCCAATCAGGGCACAGGCCTTGGTTGCACGCTCTATCGCCCCTAGGGGGCGTGCAGGAGGCAGCCAATCCATGTTTCTCTCTCTCTCTCTCTCTCTCTCTCTCTCTCTCTCTCTCTCTCTCTCTCCCCCCCCCCCCGTGTGTGTGTGTGTGTGTGTGTGTGTGTGTGTGTGTGTGTCTGTTTCAATTTCCTATTCTTTGAAATGGGCTTATAAATAGCACAGCACTCACTTTGCAGGATTGTTGCTTGAATTAAATTAATACATGTGAAATGCTTAGAAGAGTGGATGGTACATTGTAGGTGCTCAATAGAAAGATGCTTAATAGAAAGAGTGGACACAGTGGAGGCTCAGAGAGGAGAAGGCAGCTGTAAGAGGACTTGCACCCCAGGCCTGGCAGGCCCAGGGGAAGCATTGCTGTGCACCCCCAGCATCGGGCACCCAGCACCTTTCCGGGGAAATCCTGTTTGGGTCTTGATGTGGAATAAACCAGTATCAAAAATAACTCCTCAGGCAGAGGCTGAATGTGAGGTGAAGGGAGTCGCCTTTGTTTCCCTGGTTCCAGAACCCCCGGGACCAGCTCACCTGTGTCTCAGAGCTCTCGGGGCACAGCAGGGGAGTCTGGGATTTCATTTAACCCTGGAGACTCCGCTGCCTGGGAGGGATAAATGAATTCATTTTCTACACCAGGACACTCAGGCTCAGGTTGGAAGGACCCAGAGCTTCAAGGGGCAACGAAAGAAAGGGGTTGTTTGCCTGCTGAGCGCATCTATGAAGCCAGCACTCTGCTGGGTTTATTCACACATTCCTAGCTTTGTTTCCTGCTGTGTCATGTTCTGAATGCAGAGGACTTATTGGTGACAAGACTGACCTACCCGTGTCCTCACAGATTCTATAAACTAGTGGAGAGACAGACCATAAAATCAACAAACTAAGGTGATTTAAAATAGATTATGTGTCATGTCTTTTCTGGAATAAAATTGGGTAGATTTGTTCTCTATCACGTATGACCTAGGGGGAGATCCTTTCGGTAGGAATCATCAGGAAGGTGGTGCTTAAAGGAGTATCTTAAGGAAGAAAAGGGATGACGAATGCAAAGATGTGAGGGGGAGACAGGAAAAGGTAAGCGCAAAGGTCCTGAGGCAATGACAGGACTGTGAGGTGGGTGCTGTCATCTCGATTCAAGGTCAGGAATTTGCCCAAGACCACCCAGCTCATTGTGGAGGTGGGCTTGGATTTGAAGCTGGGGCTGCTGGCCCCAGAGCCCACACTTGTAGGGGCATTTCATAATCTTTGCAAACCAGCAGCCTCCACCACACTTGTAGGTGTATCTTCTCTGAAGCATCCTGGGCTTGGCTCCCAAGTTTGAGGCCAATGTCACAGTTGAGGGTGTCCAATCCCAATTCTCTGGATCGGCACTTTCCAATAGAACATAACATGAACCATATGTGTAGCTTCAAATTTTCTAGTTACGCATTAAAGAAGAATAAAAAGAAACGGGTGAAATTAATTTTAATAATATATTCTATTTAATCCAATATATAGCATATTATCCGTTCAACAGATAATAAAATGTTAATAAGGTAATCTAATTTTTCATACTAATGTCTTCAAAATTGGTATCTCGTATTAGTTTGGACACAAATCAGCATGGAATTGGTAACCGTTAGTTGGGCCAACGTGGCTCCGTGGTTGAGCATCGACCTATGAACCAGGAGATCACTGTTCGATTCCCGGTCAGGGCATACACCAGGGCTGTGGGCTCGATCCTCAGAATGGAGCATGCAGGAGGCAGCCGATCAATGATTCTCTCTCATCCTTGGTGTTTCTATCTCTCTCTCCCTCTCCCTTCTTCTATGAAATAAATAAAAATATATTAAAAAGTGAGAAAATAAATGGTGACCAAAACCTTCACACACACACACACACACACACACACACACACACACACACACACACACACACAATTAAATGCAAAGAAATGTGCACTTTCCTGGAGAGAGAGTTCGGCAGAGAGAGTTCTGCTTTCATAGATTCGCTTCTCTCCAGGCCCAGAACATCCTCCCCCCAGGTGTCTGAGCCAAGAGGGCTGCGTTTCCATTGGGTGTAGTTCCTTAGAATGAGCCCAGACGCTGACCCTCGGTGCTGAGCACAGGAAGTTGGAGGGCTGTGCTCCAAGAGAAGGTGCGTGGGGGTCCGAGGGGTGCTATGATAGGAGCCACACCTGCTCCCTCCCACTCCACTCAGGTGTCGCTAGTGACTGCTGCACACCTGAAATCCCACGCCTGGTGTCCTTAAACTTTCATCTTTATAAATTCTCCCCTCTAACGCGTGGAAAGAGTTCTGGTTAGATTTTAGGTTTGGCTGAAGCCACTGACCCTGTGAGATCGGGGGCAAATCATCTCTACTTTGGGGGCCTTAGTTTTCTTGTCTGTAAAATAGGAAGAGAGAGTTGGATTAGGTCAGTGTTTTCCAACATATGATATGCACAGCAATGGTTTTAGGGGTTCCAGATGCTATTACATAACATTGAATCCTATCATGATACGTGTATTTCCTTTTGATTTTCTCCCGGTTCCTCCAATTACTGGGGGAGAAAATCTCCTTTAATAGCTTCTGTGTCTTTAACACTTCACTGGCTAAGGAAGTGAAAGCAGAACTCAGCTCAGAGCTGTCAGCAAGAAATGGGATTTAACTAGAATTTTAAAATTTTGCTTTGCTTCCCTGGTATTTAACTGTTATGATTACTTCACCTTTATGGTAAATGATAGTGGTTTTCCATTTGAGGTCAGTAACTTTCCCCTTTAAATAAATTTTTAGAAAATGAGTTGATCGAAAGCAAAACAGTGTAGAACTAATATATGGATTTGGGCCAATGGACTTGGGAAAGATGGGGGGTGATTTAAGAGTTGCAGCTTT